GGAGAAAACATTGTTAACACTCAGAAAAATCAGAATCTATTTAAAACAGAAAAACTATCAGTTCTCACATGCTGCTGGGGGCAAATTTGGTCTTAACCACTTCTTAGGTCATCATTTATACTGGAGAGTACATCTTCATATAAGTCTTCTATGTCTACCATCGCTTGATCTATGTCAAGGACTAGGTCTTCATCTTCTCTTGGTATAAGTATTGACTCTAAGTCTGAGAAATCAGCAAGGTCTGGGAGCGAAGCCTCCTCAGGAGAAGATGCATCCACTTCTATCTCTTCTGCTCTATCATTCTGCTCTACACAAGGAACTTGTTCCTGTGAAATCAGCTGTAAAAGCTCTTCAGCTATTCTTATTAACTGGGCTACACAATCAACAAGTCCAGCAACCAGCACGGGGATTGATGTGGACTCCATGCCTCAGTGATCTCCTGAGTAGATAAATATTACTGAAAGCTGTAGCAAATGGCCTCTAGGTGATAATGGATCCTGTGGGGCTGGTAATGGTTCTATGGTTGGTTTGGCTGAGAAATGAGGCTGTTAATATGATCAAGTACAGAATAAGACCAGTAGTCCTATAGCACTTTTTGATAAAGTTGGTGAACCTCCCAGAAAACTTACATATGGCGCTCTTGTTTTTGTTGGCAGTAAACTGCAATTATAATGACAACCAGAGAGACTGCCACCGCCAAAAGAAAACAGCAAAGCAGATCTAATAATAGAAAAGAGAAATATAAAGATTAGTATTCTTGAGTCTTTATCCATCCTACAGGTTCTGGCTATAGGATAAGGTTGAAAGAGTATCCCTAGCTATGGATCCTCCTTTTTGATGGCCTTATGAGGATCTACTACTCATACTCTCTTTCCTTCATACTTCTCATCATGATCTCTTCTTACAAGATTTGAGAACAAAGTAAGCGTAGATTTTTTTGCCCATCTTTCTTGAACATCTCTATTGAAGAAGTTACACTCACTCAGAGTCTCTCAATTAATTCTGTCTTTTTTAGCACCTTTACTGCATTGCCATTTATACCTGGTGCTGTTAAATTCTTTGTGTTTTTAGTCTTCAATTCTTAAGGTTTCCAATTGGCCCTGCAGCCTGGGGAATTTGTGAAATGAAAGTTCCACAGTCTATGTCTTTTGCCAAATTTTGGACAACATCTGTTGTAAAATTAGTTCCTTGGTCATTTCCTATTACTGCCAATACTGCATATCCAGCAACCAGTTCCTTCAATTTTGTCTAAAGGCATGAACATATTATTCTCATCTGTATGCCTGGTATGCTCTGCAAACCCTCTTCTTGAAGAAATTTATACTTTTTTAAGGCAAGGAAATTTATACTTCTATAAGGCAATATTCTTTGTTTAAACATCTAAAGTTTGGCCCAGTATCATCTACTTCATACACTGGTCTGGTTTAACATGCCCCACTCCTCTTAAAAATGAGTTTGTTGGGACCCCTGGGTGGCTCAGTCAGTTAAGCATCTGCCTTTGGCTCAGGTCATGATCCCAGGGTACTGGGACTGAGTCCTGCATTGCGGGCGGGGGGGGAGGTCCTTGCTCAGGGGGGAGCCTGCCTCGCCCTCTGCCTGCTGCTCCCCTGCTTGTGTACTCTCACTCTCTGACAAATAAATAAAATCTTTTTAAAAAAAGAAAAAAAAATGAGTTTGTTAGTAATTTGACATGTCTCATATTGCTTACTCACTTGTTTGTTTGCTTCATACATTTTTCCCCCTACTCTTCCCCCTCTGCTTACCTAGGATATTCATGTCCAAATGCCATAAGGCTTCATGGGCCCATTCTGTGACCTTAAATTGAACTGACAAGGGAGGTGATTTGGGACTTGGGAGTCCCCAGGACTGCAGAGTCCACATTAGTTTTAGGGGTCAGATTGTCTCCTCTTTTACTCTAAACAGATTATTGTGTCTTCCTGTTCTGATGTGTTGGTACATGTCCTATATGAATTGCTGAAATTCTTTCAACAATTTCTTATCTCCCTTCACCAGATTATTTTTCCTGCAATAGTCCAGTCTGTAATGTTCCATTTATTATGGCATACATCTTCAGTCCATGGCTGATCAGTTTAGCTATATATACCTTTGACCAATTATTTCCTTAGGTACATATACACATTGAATTTCTAGCCACCAGTCCTACAAATCGGGCTGGTTTTTTTTCTCTAGCCTCAGTCGAGCTTTTCCTAGTGGAAAGTATTAGGAAGCAGCCACCCACCTCACTCCTTTAGGATATTGCCAAATTTATCAATGCCCTATTTACAGCAGTTCTGACCAGAGTGGGGCCCAGCAAACCAAAGGCACTATCTCTGACTAACTGTACTCCTTAGACATTTATTGGAGTACAGAAAGATTGCCCAGATGATCTGTGATTTTCACATGGAACTTGCTGGTCTCCACGGGACCTGCTTTTACCCACTCAGTTATATACTATCTTCACTTAACATAAGTTCTTTTAGAACCACACTTTTTTTTTTTTGGTCCAAAATCCTGACAGTAGACGTGAAGTTTGCCCCAAGAAGAGTCACAACCATGATGACCAGAAGGCATGATTATGGTTGTATAGGTAACTTTTCATCTGAAATGTAGGAGAATGGGCAGTGGAGGTTATTTTATTAGCTTAAAAAATCTCTGCATTTTGACTAGAGAAAAAAGCAGTCTGGTGGAAAGAAATAATGGAAAGAAATTATGAGAGGAATTTGGTATTAATGTAGAGTGTGGATCAGAAAGGAAACACAGAAGAAAAGTGTGTGTTATTACTAGAGAGTACCATCACATTTTTCAAAGGAAGCAATAGTCTACTATGGTACCCATTACCCAAGGGCACAAGAGAAATACGCTCACACAAAAGTGATTTAACTTCTGGCTTCTCCTTCACCTAGGTGTTTTGTTTTGTTTTGTGTTCTCAGCATCTCTACCTCCCTCGAGGACTATGTTATTCCTCTTCTTGCTCAATAGACATCCATTTATTCATCTATGTGTTTCATTCTATTTTACTCTCTCTGTATCTCCCATCTTCCACTATCCCTTCCCACCATCTTTTCTTCTATCTCTCCCTAAACTGGGGAAAATTTCAAAAATAAATTATATTCCACTTATTGAATTGATATTGTATTGAAAAAGTTTTACATTATACAATCTGAATGTACAAAGCAGAGAGGTGGAACATTTCATAGTTTGCTGTTTTATAAAAATAAGTGTAATTGCTTTTTACTTATGCAAACCTTGATTTATTTCTTCAATCACTTGGTCACCTTTGAGGGAAAAAAAATACCAGACTTAGCCTTAACTCTGTTGACCATTGTGTTAACTAATCCAAAATTCCTAGCCTCAAAGCATCTTGGAACCTAGGACCTGGGGTGTTGGGAAGACAAGAAGGGTGTTAAGAAACTGCTAAGTACTGCAGTACTAAGAAAGAGTAAGACTATAGCATCAGTTTATTCCAGTTGTGATAATTTTTTAAAGCAAGTAACCTCTGACACCTTAGTTTGCCTAAAAGGGGTATGCTGGATAGTTTGTGCCTACTCCCAACTTATGTTAAGGGCCATTTAAAAAAAATATCTCTTAAGTCTTTTTGTTTTTATTTTTATTTCTTTTTTTATCAGTATATAGCATTAAATTAGTTTCAGGCATATGACATAATAATTTAATATTTGCATATGTTAAAAGTGATCACCACAATAAATCTAGTTGCCCTCCATCACCATGCAGCTAACCCCCTTCACCCTTTTTGCCCACAACACAATCCTCTTCTGCTCTGATAACCACCAACCTGTTCTCTTTATTTATGAGTTTTGTTTTGTTTTCTTTATTCATTTGGTTTGTTGTTTAGGTCTCACATATAAGTGAAATCATATAGTATTTGTCTTTCTCTGCCCAACTTATTTCACTTAGCATAATACCCTCTCTAGATTCATCCATATTGTTGCAAATGGCAAGATATCTCTTTTTAGGGCTGAGTAATATTCTGCTGTGTATATAAACCACATCTTCTTTTCCATTCACCCACTGATAGACACAGAAATTGCTTCCATACCTTGGCTATTATATAATGAACATGGGGTATGTGTATCTTTTCAAATTAGTGTTTTTTTCTTCAGATAAATACTCAGATGTAGAATCACTATATTATATCGTAGATCTATATTTTATTTTTTGAGGAAGCTCCATACTGTTTTCCATAGTGGCTATACCAATTTATATTTCTACCCACAGTGTTTAAGGATTCATTAAGGGCCCTTCTATTAGCTGTTCCCTCTACCTGGGATCCCTTTTCCCAGGGGAAAAAAATGGCTTCTTGTCATTCTGGTCTCAGTTTAAATATCATCTCCGATTTCTCACCCTCCAACCTAAAACAGCTCCCCTAGCCATCCTTTCTTGTTATGCATGCAGTGTATTTTTGCATTATGATACCTATAGGCTAGAGGACAACTTTTGGCTTTTTCGTTCAGAAAATATTATCAGGTTGCAGCTATGAATAGGCATAGCATGGAGTACAAAGTTAAGCCAATTCACCAAAACCATGGTAAATAAAATGAGCAGCAGTCCACAAACCGAGAGAAAATATTCACAAAACATATATCTGACAAAGAACTTGTCAGAATATACAAAGAGCCTCTACTGGGAAGTGGGCAGTGGGTGAAGTGGGTGAATGGAGTCAGAATGTACAAACTTTCTATTATAAAATAAGTAAGTTATGGGGATGTAACATACAGCATGGTGACTACAGTGAATAATACTGTACTGCATATTTGAAAGTTACTAAGAGAGTAAATCTCAAAAATTATCATAGCAAGAAAAAATGTTTTCTAACTATGTATGTTAATGGATGTTAATGACATTTATTGTTGTGATCATTTTGCAATATATACAAAGATCAAATCATTCTGTCATATACCTGAAACTAATATACTGTTATACGTCAATGACACCTCAATTAAAAAATAGTGCCCCTACACCTCAGTAATAAAAAGATAAACCAATTAAAAATAGGCAGAAGATCTGGACAGACATTTCACAAAGGAAGAAAAATAAATAGTTAATAAGCACATGAAAACATATTCAACATCATTAGTCATCAAAGAGATACAAATTAACATCACAATAAGACACCACAACATACTAACTAAACTAGTTAAAATTAAAGACTGACAACACCAGATGTTGACAAAACTGTGGAGAAACCAGAATTCTCACACATTGCTGGTGGGATATAAAATGGTACAACCCTTTGAAAATGTCTGGCAGTTTCTTACAAAACTAAGCAAGTACCTACCTTGATTACCAGCAATTTCACTCTGAGGTATTTAACCAAGAGAAATGAAATTCACATAAAGACTTTTAGAAGAATGGTTATAGCACCTTTATGCGTAACAGAAAAAAAAAAAAGAGCCCAGTTCAATCA